GCCCGCCCCGCCGCTTGCCCGCCTCCTGCGTGCCGCGGACATGGCGGAGCTGGAGGTGGGGCAGCACTGTGGGGTGCCCGAGTGCCGCCAGCTCGGTAAGGGGGAGCGCGGCGGGTCCCGGCGGAGACGGGGATGGTGGGCCGGGGACGGTGCGAGGGCTGCGAGGAGTGCCCCCCCCAGCTCGGGGAGTCCTCTGTGCTGCTATAGCCCTGCCACAGTCCGGTGCCAGCGTCTGTCACCTCGGTTGTGTCACTGGGTGGTTAATAGCCCTCTTGCCCCTTCCTCACACTTGGCTGCCTTCAGTGATCTCGGAGAGGTGTGACTGGAGATGTAACCCCTCAGAAAGAAGCGGCAGAACCGCCTGTACTGAAGGCTTTCTGAGGGACCACTCAGAGATGAAGGGATTGAGATGATCGCGACCTGAGCTGCACGGTCCAGTTGCGTGGGGGTCTGTCAGAATAAAATCGGAAGGATGGAGAAGCAGAGTAGTGGGCTGGACCTGGAATTTGCTGCCATTAATGATGTGGTGGAGTTCGGCAGATAGTGATTTTATCTGTAAGAATTTATGTGGTAGGCAGGGGATGTGTACAGAGGCTTAGGAAGTGTGTGTAATTTTAATCACCCAAGGTCAGTATGTATGATATGATGTGAAGAAGGGGCAGGATCATTATGACTGTCCAGTGGAGGAGATGCTCTCCCTTCCAAAGAGCCAGCATCTCTTCCAGTTGGCAACTCATAAAATAAAATGTAAATTGTTCAGTGTCAGTAAATAGTGTTCTGAGGGATCTTGCAATAAATTCAATTTTTAACATAACTGGTAATTTTGATGGCTAGCCAAATGTTCCAGTATCATAGCTTGATGTTGAAAAAATTTTAATTTAAAGCCTAATTCCAACTTCTGGAAGGTATATTATTTACCTGCTCATATGTTTTTCTGTAATACAAATTAGGGGAGTTAACAAAAGCTACCTCTAGCTAAACTGTAGATGCAGTTGCTAAGTATTCTTATAAAGATTCCTACCCTGTGATGTAAGCAAAAGTTAATAATGTGAAAATTAAACTAGAAACTATTAGCAAAACAACAACCATGTTGTGTTAACTGAAAACAAATATCTTTGTTTCAGATTTTCTTCCCTTTGTATGTGATGGCTGTTCAGGTATCTTTTGGTAAGTTCATAGAAACACAGAGTATCTCAAGTTGAAAGGGTCAACAAGTCCAACTCCCTATTCTTCACAGGACTAAAACTAAAGCATACAACAGAGTATCATTCAGACAGTCCTTGAACTCCAACAGACTTGATGCCATGACCACTTCACTGGGGAGCCCAATCCAGCGCCCTACCACCCTAAGAAACTTTTCTTGGTGTTCAACCTGAATTTCCTGTGACACAGCTGTTTTCCATTTCCTCATGTTTAATGCTGTCACCAGGATTTCCTCATCACAGGTGAAGAATCCTGCACTTGCTCTCATTAAATTTTATGTGGTTGGTGACTGCCCAGCTCTATAGTCTGTCCAGAATCTCTCTGTGTGACTTCTCCACCCTCAAGGAAGTTCACAGCTTTTCCTGCTTTAGTATGGCTGGCAACCATAGCATGTATCCAGATAATTTATAAAAATATTAAAGAGCACTGGTACTAAAATTGAGCCCTGTGGAACTCCACTGGCCACCAGACTGAAGCAATTTCATTAACTGTGGCTCTCAGAGCCCAAATCATCAGCCACTTCATACTACAGACTTGTCTACCTGTGTGCTGGACCTTTTGTCAAGAAGGACACTCTGAGAGACAATGTCAAAAGCTTTGCTAAAATGCAGAACACCACATCTGCTGGCCTCCTAGTGTCAACTAAATGGGTGATCTTGTCACAAAATGAGTGGTCTGATTATGTTTTTTTCTTGAAAAAGAGTTTGGGGTTTCTTGCAAGGTTGAATTCAGGGCCTGCACTTTGATTTACACTTTGGATTAGCTGAGAGAAACTCAGAGATTGGGGGCAGATTTCACTTCTAAAATATGAGAAGCCTTCAAGGGATTTCTGCCATTTTGAAAGGTGATTGAAAATCCATTTAAACAGACAAATTCTGGTTGCTTTGAACTGAACTCTTAAGCATGCTAGTGTCTTCATTCTCTTGAAATGGTTTGTTTACCTTGAGGAATAAGTTCCAAAAGCTAAATGTTTTACATTCTGAGAAAGAATATGATCTATCCATTCAAGAAGTGAAATGCATGGGGATAGAACAAACTTTGGAGAAGATTCATTATCTAATTGAAGTTTTCCCATGATAAAACTTGTCAGATTACTCTTTAAACACTTAAATGTTTTCACATGCAGTTTTTTTTTTTTTTCCTGGAATGTTGATAACAGTGTGATTTTTTCTTCTTTTTCCATAAAGCCTTCAGCACAGGAGCCGGGATGCTCATGGGTGTCCTGAGGTAATTTAATAATATATGACAGCCTTAAATTAAAATTCCATGCAACTTAGCTGTGTGTTTTCAGACTAGATTAATGCATATGGTATATAAATATGAATTATTTAACTGAGAATGTGAAAAGCTGAAAAAAAATGAATCTACTCTTTTTCTTCCGCTCGAAAGTAAATTGTCTGAGTAGGATGACGGTTCTTTTTCTGCCTCTGAGCTACACATAACCAGGGCAAAAGCAGGAGGGAATAGCCAGACCAGGTTTGCCCACAGAATGGAGAGCTAGGACAGATCTTTGGGGAAGCTGGGATTGCAGCTTATATCTGTGGTATCTGTTGATTTACACAAAATATTTTGTACTTACTCCTAGGTGAATGTGAGAAACACTTCTGTGAAACCCGATCAGCACAGATCTTACCCATGCTCATACAAGGACTGCAATGGAAAGGAGCTTTTGCCAGTGTTATGTCCTTATTGTGAAAAACATTTTTGTCTCAAGTGAGTGGAACAGAGTGTTTAAACATCAATATTCATTCACTGATGTATGGAAAAGTCAATATAAGTTTTACTTTGTTGTTTACAGGCATCGTCATCAATCAGACCATGAATGTGAGAAGCTGGACATGCCGAAACCTCGAATGGCTGCCACCCAGCAGCTTGTTCAAGATATTATAGGCAAGTACAGAGGGATATATATTCTTTTTCTTATATCTTTTTCAGAACACTCTTTGAGCTTCTGGCCTCCTTTGAGGGGTCAGGTTTGACCAAATGAGAGGAAGTGATAGGAGTTCCTTGGTTAAATAGCCCTTAACTTACATGTCAGCATTTAATACTCTTCATTTAAACTGAACCAAAACAACAGTACAAGGAGAATCTCTAAAGAGTAAATAAGGAGCAGGCTTCTTTCAGAATTATTGTCTTGTTGTCATTCTACAAGTACTATAACATAAGGAGTTGTACTTAGCCATTATTATTTACGTATTAATTCATGTGCAAATAATGCAGTTGTGTTGGATGTGCATGTCAGTCTGCTGGGATCACACCTACACATTCAAGATGGACAGAAAAGTCTGATTCTACCATGTAATGTTCTGCAGGTTTTGAACAAGCTTTAGGATGGGAAACAGCACTGCCCAGCTGGACAGTGGGGTTATGTGTAGAACGGAGGACCTGAAATTGTTGCCATATGAACGCTGTAATGGTCATAGGTGTAGAAATTTAAGAATTTGTATCTATTTGGCTTTTGCAGCTTGTGTTTACATGGTGATAATGTTAATCTACTTTTCAATGTAAAGAAATTCTGCTAGAACTAAAAATTCTGATGCATGACTTTGGGAGAATATGAACAGACACAAAAGGGGATGGGATCCTTGGAAATACAATGAGACCCAACAGACTAAGTGGTCTAATATGGTCAGGAAGCTGTAAGAATGTTCACACTAACAGGACTAATATTTTTCTCAGATTCTAAAAAAAGTGATGAAGTGAAAAGCAAAAAACGTAAAGGAGCAAAAAACAGTGAGACGGCAGCAAAAGTGGCATTAATGAAACTGAAAATGCACGCATGTGGGGACAAGTCCTTGCCTCAGGTCAGTGATGTTTGTTTTCAATAATTGAATTCTCAAAGGAACTGGAAAGTTTTCTAAATTGCTTGATCTTCATTGAGTTCCCTCAGCTTGGTTTTGGATTTAATTTTTCAAGACCACAATCCCTTAAAGATATATTTCAGCCTGGTTCCCAAAAGCAGTCTCACTAGTCTTATGTCCATTATGTCTGTGTGGGGTTTGGAGCAGTGGAGTCAAGTTCTGTTATTTTATAGCAGAAATGTATTTGCCTGCCACATGGCTGTTACATAGCCCTGCAGGGACAAACAGGGTCTTTTGGGGATTTTTGGTAGAAAGATGACATTACTAAGATTTAATAAAGCTTAGCATTCTAGCAGAATTTGATGATCAGCAGAGCATAGAATTTTATTATTAGACTAGAACAGGATTTCTACAATCACTGTTGCACAATTTTGTAAGTAGTGCAGGTCAGAATTTTATAGCACATCTTAGCTTGTGGTTTCTTAGCACCTGGACCCTTTGCAGATAGTGTCAAATCTTAATACTTGGCTAGCAATATCAATATTTCCGATCATCTAGACCTGAAACATAAAACTGCTTGGTTTTCCCACCTAGACTGAATTCATGTGTTGGGGCATTGCAGTGGACAATGTGGTCTTATGGTAAGAATGTGCCTTAAAAGTTTGAGTTTGCTAATCTTGAGAGTGTAAAAGGATGAGTATGCCAACTCAGATTGGTACCAAGATGTTTCAGGTGCAGATTCAGCTACTCACCCAGAATTTGCATCTGAAGATTGAGAGTGTTGTATATACAACTCCATTTGTATATGTAAAAAACCCATTGATAAATTATTTTCATAAACTGAATGACACGATTATCATCCCATTCATGAAACAGGGAGGAAGGAGGTATAGGTAAAGGACAGTACAATACAGTGGGTGTTGTGATCATCTTTTTACAGCTGAGTTTTCTACAAAGGTAAAAGTAATGATTCCTTGGGCATACTCCAGGTTTGCTCAGGCTAAAAAATCTGTCCAAGTTTCACTCATTTCCTGAGTGATAATGATAAATTATAAAAATGATAAGGAATTATTCATTCTTGGGAATTATCCAAACCTCAGTGAAGGTAAACAGAGTCCCCATTTAGAAACAGTTTTTTATGTGTCCTTTACTTTGGGAGTTAGTAAAGGGACAGATAGGTATTTAAACTTCATAAGGGTAGTTAATAAGAATATTGTCACCCTGAAGAAAGAGAAGGACTGACAGTAGGGGATTCATTTTACTGGTTGGAGAGCAGGAGAATGAGTTTTTTCCACTGGGCATCTGGTGAGTGTCTGCTGGTTATTTTAAACATCAAACAGCTTTCAAGTAGAGCTTTTATCCCATTTTCCCATAAGGAAACTTTGCCCTGGGGCCCATTTTAGTGGACATTCCACTTCTTGACTTTGAGGACAGGGAGGACACCCAGGCAACTCCATGATCATCCTACCATTCCTGGATTTTTTTTCTTTTTAAGGAATGCCATTGTCAGATTGCACAGCAGAGGGCATGGGAGTGTCAGCAATCTGTTGATTAAATCCTGCCAGAGTGGTATGAACATCAGCTTTACCACATACAAAAGCTTTCCCTAAGCCTTCCTTTTTTTTATCTCCAGTAAGGGTGTAACACCACCCTTCGGGTGTTCAAGGGAGAAGTCCTACATAATTAATTTGCCAAGTGGACCAGGGGGCTTATTTCCTGCTCACAATCCACTTGGTACCCTGAAAAGGTGACCTTCTTTGTGAGGCCCTAGCATTGTTTCTTCATCAATTGTTTTGATGGCTCAGTAGGTGTTCCCCTGAATGCAGCTCACAAAATATCCATACTGAATGTATTCAGGTTTCCTGGTGGCATTTGCTGGTTTTGGGGGATGCAGGAAGACAAAAAAAGGAGTTCAAATTTTACCTTAACAATTGAATAACAAACTACTGCTCCGTTTACTTCAGTTACTAATATTTTCTGATGTTTCAGAGGGATAGCTCCAGGACATTATTCTCTTTTCTTCTGTGTGGAGAACACTCAAATTTCAAGGAAAATGTACAGGTTGAAATTCAGAGCCAGTTTTATGAACATGGTTGAGATAGTTCCATATGTTCTGAGGGAACACATAAATAAATCCTTTAAAAAAAGACTTCTGTCTTGTCTTGTTTCTGACTTTGACTCAGCAAGGATGATCCTAAATGATGAATATATAGCAGTCATCCTTGTTATATTTTACCCCAATCCCATTCAGAATCTCTCCCTCATAGATTACTCTTGACATTTCTTAAACAAACTTTCAGTCTAGTAGAAAGAGTGTTTAATACATAAAAGGAGGATACAGTACAGGATGCAGGATTATCTGGTCATGATCTGAATGCTGGTTTGTGAAGTAAGCATTTCTGGTACAGTGAACTGCTCTAACTATTTCTGCATTCGCATTTGAGACACTATACTGCTGCCAAAAACAAATACTGCTTATTCAAACGCACCTTTTTCTCACAAGGGCAGATACCTTTTCATGTCTGTCTATACATAACAGTGTGCTGTAGGACTGGTGGGAAAAGATGTTCTCTCCACCTTTAAGAACTTACTGTCTGTCCTATCCTCTCCTCCTGCAGCTGGAGAGGATTTGATTTGATGATCTTGGTCATTAATATTTTGCAGTAAAATTGGACTGATGTAATAAAACAAATTTCAGTTGGTAATTTTGGGTCTGAAGTTTTAAGTTTTTTACTGAAAAACTTAAAAAAGTTTTAAGTTTTACTTATAAAAACTTACTAGATGTATATGACTGGAATTATGTGTTTCTTCTGTGGGTAATTTTTGTTTTGTATTTCATGTTTTTCTAGACAGAAAGAATTTACTTTCAAGTATTTTTACCAAAAGGGAACAAAGAGAAAAGCAAACCCATGTTCTTTTGCAGTAAGTGGAGTATTGGCAAAGTAGTAGATTTTGCAGCTTCCTTAGCAAGCCTTAAAAATGACAACAACAAATCAACATCTCAGGTAAGTCAACAATAACAAACATTTTCTAGATTTTTACATTTTGGGTTTAGTTTTTCTTTTGCCTTTTGTGCCTCTCCCACCCCACTTCTTTCATCTTGGATAGGCAACTCTTGATGTTAATTTCTGTGCTATTTGTCTTACAGAAACTGAGATTATGCCATACTGCCTCTGGAGAAGCCTTGCCATTTGAGCACACACTGGAAACATGGCTATCTGATAAAGACTATCCACTGTACAATGGAGGGAATATAATTCTAGAGTATCTTGATAATGATGTTCTGTTTATAGAAGATACAGAGTCCTACTTTAGGTAGTCAATAAATTTTCACAAACAAAAAAAAATCCAGTATTTTTTGGAAGCATGGTATTAAAGCAAGTCCAGTTTTCTTTTAAAATCACTGGTATGCCAGAACCTGTCTTCCACTGTAAAGACATAACTCCCATAAGTTTCTCAGATGCTTGACTGACAGAAGAGCTATTTCCTGAAAGGAAAGTTATAATAACTAATATGACAGAAATTCACATTCTAGAATTCTTGCTGTATTGAGCTGTATAATATCAAGAATGTTTTCTTAAATTCGGTATTTATTTTTGTGTAAGTGGTGGCGACAGTATGTCTTAATAAATAATGAAAATGTGAACTTGCAGTATGACAGTTTTCTGAAGGACAGAAACATACTACGCTATTGCAGCATCTTTTCTACATCTACACAAACAGATTTGATTGCATTTGGAAACCAGTACTGTCCATACACTGGGTCCACATTTCATTCTTGTAATGACATTTAGAAGGAAAGCTTTAGGAAGCAAAAGTAAATTCACTCAGGTGAAGTGAATTTAAAAAACTTCATTTACTCCTGATTGTAAATCTCATTCTGTGATTAGGTGGGGATAAAAGATCTTGGCAAGCCTGTCACTTACTTTGTTTTACAGTACTCCTGTCACTTACTTTGTTTTACAGTACTCTTTACTGTAGTTTTAACATTACTACTGGATGTAGTGTGGATGTCACATGAAGGAAAGTGGTTTTGGTTTCCATGAAGGAAAGGGTTTTCAGTAGCTGGATATTTTGGAAATCTTTGTCTCTTGGCAACAGAAAGTACAGGAGCATGAGGCCTACCAGCATTGTGGAACCAGTGAGTTGGGAAAAGCCCTAAACAGAACTTGTTCCCCATACTGTTGCTACAAAAGCAAGTGAAAAAATGCTGCTGTGCAACAGGGTCATTTCTTTTTAGCAGAAAATCTTTGTTCACTACTTAGACCCTTCTTCCTGCCCCTGATTTTTCTGCCTTAGCAGTTGCAGGCAAAATAATTGAAACAACATTTTTTTTGTGGATAAAGAGAAGATAGACTTGGAATGCAGGAATTAAATATTTGGGGAGACCTCAAAGGTTTTACCAGGGTGGTTGCTTTCATCAATTGCCAGTAATGGCTAAGGGCTATCAGCGTGTAAATGACAGTACAAACATGGCAAGTCACAGTTGGTAAGACTCCAAAAACTTCTCACTGTCATCTTATTCCAGGAATGTGTCTAGGATTGTACACAGAAGCTCATTCTAGGTAGTTTTTGGAAACTGAGAAGCAAAGTCAAATTAGTCTGACAGATAAATAATTGAGAAGAGGTGAAAACTCCACCCTATTCAATGGTGCTAGGAAAAAAAGCAGAAACTTTCCCAGACCTTTAGGATCTTGCATAGGCTAGAATTGCTCCCATTTTACCTGTTTAGATTCCAACATATCATTACTTAGCTTTTTGTTTTTGTTTTTAAAACATGATCTTAGCATATTTTCATACAGAAGTTCAACAGTTGCATTTTCAAAAAAAAAAACCCAAAAGACTTTGGAGGAGTCAGTTCACATTTGAAACCACTGTTAATTTTACTGGCCTGTGCTTAGAAGGTGCTGAACTGTTTCACTTCAAAGTTAATAAATCAAACTTTACATCCTTTTTTTTTTTTGCATCTAGAAGTTATGCAAGCAAGAAGAGGAATTTATGAAAAGAAATACTTTGTGGTTTTTACAATAAACAGTGCTTTTAGCCAAACTACAAAAATAGGTGAATACAAGCATTTTAGTTGATCTAGCTGCAATTTTAGAGAATGCACAAGGTAAAGGACTTACTAACATTTTATGAGATACTGTGGTAGCAGCTTCTGGCCTTATTCCAGTTCAAACTCTGTTACAAGGTTGTCTGGCATGTTTTTGTAATACATACAACATTTTGGAAAGGGTTGTATTAACACCAAGAGTTGATTCTGAGTGCATTCTTGATCTGTTAGATTGGCTAGGCAATGCTGTAGTAAACAAGAAATAATATATCACACTAAGAAAGCAGGCGGTAATCTCTCATACTTTTATTTGCACCAAATTCTATTTCTGTGTCTTTCTTAGAAAAGTATGTACCCTGGAGTGTGATCAGTCTGGTTTGCAGACTTTCTATCAATAAATCATGTTTGTTCATTCAGTTTATCAGGTGACACATAACAATACACCTTGCAGATTAGTTCTCTACCTAGTAGCCTTGTACATAAAAGAAAAAATTTCATTTCAGCTGAAATAGAAATTGTGGTTTGGATTAGGAAATTTTTTATACTTTTTAGGAGAGAACTTCAGGCATTCCTGTTTTACTTCTGCTGATTTTAAGGTGAATACAAAATTTGAAATCTGTAAGACCCCTGCTGTAATGTTAAGTATAAAATAATGATATTAAAAAAAAATTTTTCATAACACTCGTGTCCTATATAGGTTGTACTGAGACATGTCCAGCAGCTTGCCTCTACAAAAACCAAATCTGAGCCAAAGGACTGTGTGCTTTTGGTATAACCTTGTAAAGAATTATTTACAAAATAATCAACAAAAACACAACTTACCACCTCTGTAGTTCTTTAATGACTCTGAATCCTTAATAAAGCCGGCTTATTCCTGTTTATGAGATGGGAAGGAGGAAATGTGGAATTGCACAGTGACTTGCCCCACACAACAGATTCAATGAGTGGAAACTGTGATTTGGAAACTGTGATCTTCAGTGATTTGGAAAGGACAAAACTTTTGCCTAGCCCTTTGGCCTAGCTCTGCCTTGAGTTGGCATTGGGGCAATGGGGTAAGACTGCTTCTTTTGGTGTAGTAGGTATTTTATGATTAAGTGTAAAGCAAATTGCAACCCTTGCCCTGTTTAGCCAGATCACCATTTTACACAGGACAGTCAGTTACATCACTTGCCATTTGTAAGGACAAAACAAGCCCTGAATATTCTGCCTTTACTTGATGAGAGACAGTAGCTCAAAAGACCACAGGGGAAAAAAAAAAATAAAAAATGAAACTGGTATCAGTCAGGCTTGGAACGTTCTTCTCCTCTATAATTTTAATTAATATTGATTGCATCATTTGAACTGCAAACCGTTTTCAAAAATCGTCGAACTCAGTGAACTTGCTCTCCGTGATGGTTCTGAGGCACTGGCACAGCTTTCCCAGGGATGATGTGGATGTCCCACCTCTGGAAGGGAGCAAGGCCCGGTTGGATGGGGCTCTGAACAACTCGGTCTAGGGGAAGGTGATCCCAGCCACGGCAGAGGGGTTGCTTACGATCTTCAAAGTTCCCTCCCACCCAAACCATCTTTTCAATTCTATGATAAACTTCAATCGCATGCTCCACGGGAGAGCATTTACGGTATCTCCGCCCTGCCACGTCCAATTATTAACAAGAAGTCGACATCAAAGTCTAATTTCAACACTTCCCCTGTATATTTTGACAGCGCGGCCGGGGCTCCCTCACACGCAGGCGCGGCCGCCGCCGAGAGG